ATACCTTTACAGTTCTGTGTATGAGATATGATGCTAGTTTTACTCAATTTAAACAGTCAAATGCTCATGAAGTGACTCTCAGAGCAGTTCTGGGGATGTTGTTCATGTGTTTACCTCCTCATTTAGTGAGACGGCAGACTCTGAAATCACCGCCAGCGTTACGCTCAGTATGTGTGTAGTAAATGAAACCGCGCGTCTGCGCCATTCATTAACAGAGACATGCAGAACATGCAGCATTCATATTTAAATCGACTTTTGGCTTAATATTTACAGATACTAGTCCATATCGCGATTTGATTTAAGTGTAATGACCTACTTTTGATTAATTAATTCAGAATTTGATAAATTCTGTGACATTCTGCATTCCGTTTTTATGACTGGATTCCGCGATTCCGTCCGCGTTTTCTGCATCGTGGAAATCATAGGACCCTAATTTGGGCATCATAAGAAATTGCTGTGGAACTAGTTATTATATTTTATACTGAGTTTAAGCAAATTATTAACTGGTGTCTATCAATCACTGAAAACACACACATTACAACACATATAGCCTCTATTTAATAACAATCTTCATTTATAACATTTGTCATACACACTAAACATGCAGGCTTAAAGGGATAGTTCACCTAATTGATGCAGATATTTTACTGACCCTCAGGCCAACCAAGATGTAGTTAACTTTTTTCTTCAACTGAACGGTAAAGGAGATTTTTAGGTGAAACCATTGTCTTTGGAAATTCATAAACTGCACGTCTCTGGCTGCTGGCTTTTGAGAGTCAACTAAACATATACAGACAAAACCAAACTACCAAAGGCTCCTGAGAACACATTGAGGCCTTATGAAGCTAAACAATCAAAAACCAGCAGCCACAGACATGCAGGGTATGAATCGCCAATGATCGCCGTTTCAGATAAAAATCTTCTTTACTGTTCTACTGAAGAAAAAAAGTCACTGACATCTGGGATGGCCTGAGGGTCAATAAAATAACAGCAAATTTCCATTTTTGGGTGAACTATCCCTTTAAAGTGCTCCAGTTGTCAAACATTACATTTGTAATACAACTGCAAAATGTATTTTAAACATTTGTTTAATGAACTTAAAAAAGACTAAACAAAGTTAAACAAAAAGTTTGCAAACAAACATTTACAAATATTATACTGTTCACAATTACATCTTTAAAATGAGGCAGAAGTCAGAAAAAAATAAATGAGCCATGTGTTACAGTTCAACTGAACTGAGTCAAGTAAAGTCCAGTCACTGTATTTATATAGCGCTTTTTACACTACAGATTGTGTCAAATCAGCTTTACAGTATTAAACAGAAAAATCTTGTGTTGAAGGAACAGAAACTATCGTTCTTCTCTGGCCAGACAAAACCAGCAGTTTAATTGCAGGCTGCAGCAAAGTCAGATTGTGCAGAGGACTGGTCTGGCTCCTGTGGTCTCACACATACACACATTACTTTAAGTCTTAGTGTTGAAAGTACACACACATTGTGTTGCAGTGGAGTGGTCTGGTCATGTGCCAGTGTTTGGTGCCTTGGAAACCTTTGGCCACACCCTGATGGAGACAAAAAGTACAATGTATCTCAAAAATTAAATGATGCCTTTTTTTAAATAATTTAAAATGTAATATCAGTTAGTTAAATTTGTGATGAAATAGAAGTTGCAACCATTTTTTTTTTTTTTTTGGCACACAAACAAAATCTCAATCCATTGCACAACACAGGAGCATTGATGTTGACTGTGTTCATTTGTTGCAAGGATTTGTAACAGAACATGAACATTTCATATTATAAGTCTACCTTAAACAGCATAAAAATAATATCAATATATAACGGCCCTGCCTGTTGTTGATAAACACCAATGGTAACGTTTTACAAATTGATTGATCAATTGTCTCAATGTTTACTAAGTGCAGGGACTCGTGTGCACGATCTAGTGATTCACTGCCTAGTGATTCACTACCTAGGGAACTGACTGAGACAAAACCTGCTTTGATAACGGCCTTGTGAAACGATTCAGTGGTTCATTTTGGTTCGGAACCAACTCCCTTCTGAAGTGCCTTCAGGAGACCAGAAACGCCGTGCAATTCACTCTGTTTGAAAAGAGCCGTGGCTGGTTGTTAGTCACATTCAATGTGGTCTTTTAACTTCACGGGATAATTGCAAAAGTTTGCACACGCAAAAACCCATTCAACACGCCCATGTTAACTTCAAATAAGCGCATTACTGTGGTTTACATTACACATTTCGTCGTATTAAGTATCAATGGCTTATAAAAGAGAAAGCCTGCGGGAGCTCTTCATATCTCAAACGTCACGGAAACACAAAAATATCATACAACACGCCAAAATTAAACCTAAAATTCATTATAGTAACACAGCTTTTGACATTAAGTGTTTTATGGATTAAACAAGAAGACCAAGTTCCCCCAACTTAACGTTAAACAGTTCATTTCCCTCAGACATGTTCATACAACGTTTATTCGATGTTTTTATATATGTTGTACGTTTTGTATAAATATATACGTTTTAAATAATACGTTTACACCGTTTTTAATATACAAATGTTGATCAATTCTAAGTACAAATATTTATTCAGTACCACTTACCTGACGCATTAACTTGACATACACTTAACATAAATATTAAAACGCTTCTAAATATCCACTCAAAAACATTGAATATGTTGTACAATGTTGTCGATAAATTTAGTCTAAAAAAACACATTTATTTAGTGGCACTTACCTGACTCGAGAACTTGACAAGATGGCGCTGCTGTTTCTCCCGCGAAGTCACTCAGGCTCTTGCACGTACAGAATGATCTCAGTGTTGGCTGGATTAGTTTTTATTAGTTCAGTCAAAAATTGAAATTCTGAATGTTGATTTGAAAATAACCCTTCACTCAATGGGGTTTTTTATATATATTTGTGTAGACTTAATATAATGTGTTTTTAATTAGCTCAACTTTTTTCTCAATCTATTTCTCAATTTCTTTTAGCTCAATCTATTTTTGTCCTTCCAATATTTTGTTAATTTGATTTTTTACAGTGTGGTTATTTGGTAATTTTTTAAAATGGGAGGCTAAAAAGTTAGAGAATGACATATTTATATATATATATATATATATATATATGTATGTATGTATGTGTATGTATGTGTATGTATATGTATATATGTATATATATGTATATGTATATATGTGTGTGTATATATATATAATTAACTCTTTCCCTCCATTGACGAGTTATCTCGTCTTTTAGAAGAAAACTGCATAATGTTACAGAGTAAAATGTTGATCCAGTAAGTGGTATATATCTGTGCAAGCTTTGGAGGTGTTGATGGAAGCGATTTACTGGATTTATGCTTTGATAATCGTACTGAATATTATCCAGATGTAGTTTTTGATAAAAAAATCTCAAAATTTTGCTCCAAATTATGCATTTTTATGAAACCTACCTATATTCAAGTGTTGATTTAAAAAAAGAATGTTTTAAGCTAAAATAAAACGGATTTTTTTTTTTTAAAGTAGAGGCTCTGATCTTTATTTTGGTGTATTACATATTCGAATATTCATACAGCAAAATATACTGGAGGCCATCCAATTTGACTGAAAATCATCAAAATCGCTGGCAACTTTTTTCAAAAATGCTGGCAGGGAAAGAGTTAAGAGATGTGTAATATTTGTGCTTTTGAAGAGGTCACGTGTAACACCTAGGACCAGTGAAACAAGTTAGTGAGAACGTTGTTCAAGTGACAGTTTTAAAGTGATTGAATTCTGTCGAACACATTCCTGTTCAATAAGCTCTTGAGAGCAAACATGAGAATTATGATTATGATACTTTTGCACCAACTTAAAAATGTATTGTTTTGTTTTTTCATTTTCAAATGGGCAAATACGTTTGCATATAGCTGACTTTAGAGCAAGACATCAGCGAATCATTTTACATCATCGCACCATAGGCCCTGCTCACTGGCGCTCAGTCGCTTAAAGGCTGACACCTGTGTTATTTGCATTTTGACAAACAGGTTCAACTGGAATCCAACATTGTCCTTTAGACCAACAACATCTTACATTACATTAAATGACATGATCGTTTCTCTTTTTCCATTGTGTGAAGTAAATGGCACATTTGTATATTGATGGTTCGAATGACACTGCTTCCCTGAACAGGATCAATTTGTGTCTGAATTGTTCCAGCAGTATCAATAAGCATATTAATTAACTGACTGCATTTGCCGGCTTTTGTCTCCATATTCACTCAGCCCTACTAGTATCAGCTCCTAAAATATAATAGTTACACTCTTAGTTATAATCTATCATCTCTTATGCATCAACCGCCGAAAATAAAAAAAAAGTGAATAGACTTAATATTCTCAACACCAATTGTCTTTGTAATTTCAGAGTTTATTAGTAATGCAAATGTTGATAAAAGCATGCATGTTAAAAAAAGAGCATTTATGGATGTACTTATGTAACGCCAGTCACCTAAAGGTCATCATAGTAATACTGTATACATCATACATTTACACCTATGACCTGGAAATAAAAATAAAAAAAATCAGATGCTTTTGAAAATAAGTACTGGACCCTGAAATTGAGCTCAAGTGTCATTCATTTCAGAAGCCGTTGTAGTCCAGTTTTTCTTAACCCGGGATCTTCAGTAGACTTTAAAAGGGCCTCAAGAGGACTTCAAGTTATTTAAAAACAACAAAAATCAAGATATTTCTTATTTCAGTTCACCTGAACTGAATCACTTTTATTTGATGTTTGAACTGACATATGTGTTGGCAGTGTGTGTACACAACCACCTTATAATGATACAATCCACCCAGTGATTTTTTTTAAATCCTCACAAATAATAATTACTTTCTCAGATCAAGCCATTCTCAGAATCCGGCCAGATGTACGTCACACAATCCAAGGCCCCTCCCACGATTGTTGATTGACACTGGTGTTTTATCACAGCTCCGCCCTGAGTGACTGTCATCACTCCGCCATTGTTTCACCGCCGGAGCAGATGTAGACAAGAATGACTCCTAAGTGATTGAGGTGTTCTGTAGTTGGACGTAATAATGAACATGTCGTCATTTACTCCCGACATCTGAGCCGCTGAAGACGCAGTGTATTACCTTTGTTTTTGAAGGGAAAGTGTCCCCGATCTACAGAAGAAGTGAGTAAATCGCAAATCACCTTTCCTAATAATGTGCTAGTTAGCGAGTTCCGCAGCTAAATGCGGTTAAAGTTTACCGTCTCTCAGAGAACGGCTTGTCACCCCACTGAAGAGGGGGGCGGGGTCAGCAGAGCTCATTAGCATTTAAAGGGACATGCAAAGAAACGGCTTGCTCTGAAAAGAGCTGTTTTTGACAGAGTAAAAAGGGCGTTGTTTTACACTAATACTGAGAAATTTTAACCAAAGTATGTTATAGATTTTCATGAAGACCCTAAAGAATCATATCAACTTGTGGAAAATGGGCATCCGATGACCACTTTAATACTTGTCCAGTAAATCATGAACATCTAGAAATTCACTTGTCGAAAAGAGCGGGAAAACTGAAGAACATTCAGCTCTCATACAATTTGGAATGCTGAAATTCAGTTACCCGAATTATAATAATTTAGATTCTTATTTAAATCAGTTCACACAGTTTCTGCAAAATAAAAACATTTGTCTTTTCAGAGAAAACCTATTAGCCTTCAAATATTGTTGTGGACAATGATGGGTCTTGGAGTCGAAAAGTTTGAGAACTACTGCTGTAGATCATCCATCTTTCTTTTTCAGCGCTGTTATTTCATCTGATCAGCGATGTTTACTAAACACTTACTCATGGCTTCTGTCCATTTTGCTAATAGTTATTAGAGCATCAGATGTCCTAACCTCAGCCCCAACCTCCTCCTCCATCATTTCCATCTTCATCTCCGTCCTCATCCTCCTCTTCCACACTCACCCCGTCCTTCTTCTTCTTCTTCTTCTTCTTCATCTTCCTGTCCTCCACTTTGTATTTGACGCGTCGGATGGGGTCGGTCATGCTGCGCATTTTGCCCTCGTCAAACTCCTCGTTCATCATGAAGTTCCTGTCGATAAGCTCCGCCCCTTCCTGCCAGTTGCGGTAGCAGTCCGGCCCCAGTTTACAGATTTCTTCCACGGCGTCGGCTGTGAGAACGGAGCAGTCCGGGCGCAAAACCACCACCCTGGGCAGATCCTGCACCTCGAACATCACGCTCAGCTCCCTGTTAACGACACAAACACGTCACAAACTACGGCGCTCCTTCACTCAATATACTGCATCTGATGGTTACACACAGAATGTTAAACATTGTTAAACATTAACTAAAACCTAAAACGATTACAACATTTTCTTAATAAGTATGTGTTAGTTAATGTTCGAATTAAAGCTGAGACAAAATATAAATGATAGAAACTTGTTAAATCATTTTGTTTCGCACTAAACAATTTCTGGAAATAAAATAAATAAAAACAAAGAGTGAAAAAAAAAATGAAAACAAAGCTAAATATTTTTAAACAAGAAAAATGAAGAAAATTTACAAAAGCACGTAATTACTACAAATTTAACTAAGGTTAAAATGAAAACTGAAAGTATAAAAATAAAATCTATACCAACAAAACTATAATAGTATGTAAATTGTACTAAAATATCACTGGATCGTGGTTCGTAATTATTATTCAGTTATTTGAATTAATACGGTAAGTACAGTACATAATATGTACATGATCCTAGTTACATTTTATTTTAAAGCAGCTTTTGTCTTATTTTAAGCACTTTTAAGTCATCTTGCAGACCCCGTCAAAGTGTGCTGAGCCACTGTGCTAGAAATTGTTGTACTCTAATTTTTAGTATGCTTTTCCGAACAAAAATTGTACATACTGTCTGTATGGGTCCTTGTAGGCCAGGAACAGGCAGCGTTTGGGCAGCTCCTTCAGGAACTTCTCCTGCTGCTCCTCGGAGGAGTCCAGCGAGATGTACAGCAGGACCAGCTGAGCCGATCGCTCCACGTAAAACTCGTCCGTGAGCTTCTTGTAGAAGTCTTTGAGCGTCGGTGCAAACTCCTGGCACTTCTCGCTCTCGCCGGAGCCGAAGAACAGCATGAGGATACGGTTCTGGAGCCGCAGGACGATCTCGCGCTCAGTGTCCAGATCGTCTCTGTCTTTATTGTTCTTCACCAGAACCTTCCCCAGGAACAGGTCCACCATGACAGCTTCTGGAGAGAGAACATGCACTGATCAGTGCTTGATAATATTCTTAAACAACAACAACACTGTTTATTCATAGAGCACATTTAAACACAATCGAGGTTGACCAATGTGCTTTACAAAGAATAAAAACCCAATGAATAAAATAAAAGGATAAAAAAGTAAACACACAAACATGATCAACAGAATACAGCAGGAAAACCAGGATAACATAAGGAGTGTTACAAGCCAGGGCGAAAAAAAAAAAGTAAAAGTACTAAAAAATAAAGTTGCAGGGAAAGACACACTTTTAATAAAATGGGGAAAAAACAAGTAGCTATATGTAATTGCGTAGGCTAATAGTTTCTCCACAAACTAACTGGAGAAAGATCATCTTGGATCCAAACTATGAGAGTGAAGATGCTGGTCAGAGAAGTCCTGCCCTATATAAACACTCACAGATTGTGTTCGACATGGATTGAACTAAACCTCAATTACAAGAGATCTCAAAACACAGAAGACTGATAACAATAGACTTGAAAAGATCAGATCAATTTTATGATCATTTTTATGCAGAACTAGGCCAACAGTTTATTTGACTACAAATGTAAAAGTATATTGAACAAAACTTGTAAAAGTTATAGAATATTGTATACAGCTGACAGGGAACATAGAACATCCCTAACATTCTGGCAATGTTCTCTCAAAGTTTTAAACAAACGTTCTTCCAGTAAAGTTAATCGATTTATTCAAAAGTTGCCTGGTCTTTAATAGCGTTAAACGTAAGCACAAAACATCATTCATGTAATGTTTTTCTAAAATATTTTAGTTGGATGTTCACCTAACATTTTTAAATGCTACCATTTGTTTCAGAATGCTCAGATGAACATTTAAAAGTAACATTCCCGTAACATTTGCAAAATGATAAATGGAATGTTCCCTTAACGTTCACATATTCAAGAAAGAAAAAAGAAAAAAAATTAAACGTTTTAGAATATTCATGACGTTTTAATGACGTTTTGGACATTCAGAAGTAATGTTTTCACTTGATTAGAACGTTTGCAAAACATTTTAGAACATATTTTTGTTAGCTGGCCCTGTTGAAAAAAAACGGCATATGCTGGTTAGGTATGTTTTGACGCTGGGATGCTGGTTTATGCTGGTCCTTTGCCAGCACATGACCAGCATAAACCAGCAAAAGGACCAGCATAAACCAGCAAAAGGACCAGCATAAACCAGCAAAAGGACCAGCATAAACCAGCAAAAGGACCAGCACAAACCAGCAAAAGGACCAGCAAAGGACCAGCATAAACCAGCAAAAGGACCAGCACAAACCAGCAAAAGGACCAGCAAAGGACCAGCATAAACCAGCAAAAGGACCAGCACAAACCAGCAAAAGGACCAGCAAAGGACCAGCATAAACCAGCAAAAGGACCAGCACAAACCAGCAAAAGGACCAGCAAAGGACCAGCATAAACCAGCAAAAGGACCAGCACAAACCAGCAAAAGGACCAGCAAAGGACCAGCATAAACCAGCAAAAGGACCAGCACAAACCAGCAAAAGGACCAGCAAAGGATACCTAACCAGCATATGCTGTTTTTTTTCAACAGGGGGGTATGAGGATGAATTCGCGTTTAAAATGGTTAATCTGGACGAGACTGACAGATCTTTGGGCGAATACAGCAACTGTTGAATGTAGGAGATCATAAAAAACACAAAGTTCGGAAAAGAATTAGGCTAATGCATTGCACAAACATCACTGTGCACATGTGTAGAGCCGCATAACAACCGCCCAAAAACTAATTTATTCAGTTATTCTCAGACCTTCAGTGACGCAGTCTCGCTGTCCTCAGAATCGCTGTTGATCGGAACCGAACCGAACCGATCATGAGTTCGGATCAACGCGGTTGGGGTCCGCACCGTTCACGGAGACTACAGGGTTAAACCGACGCAGACAGTCTCACATCGTTCTGTCAGTGTTTATTTACTCTCCACTCACAGAGATATGAGGACACGGCGAACAGACCACCTAATCTACATGAACCCACCGTCATAATCCTATTGAGAGAGAAAGAGGGAGGGTGTGTGAAAGTGAGAGACAGAGAGATTAGTACTATCAGTCTTCTGCAGGTGTTTCATCTGATAGACGCTAAAATAAATTAAGATAATTACCTTAAGCAATGCATGCAAACGCATGGCCGAGATTCAAGTATTGATTTTTTGTTTCGCTCTAATCATGAAAATGATCGTTTTGCTCTCTGGAAGGATTATGACCATGTTTACCAGAGATCCCATAAACCTTCTTGGCTGAAAATACACCAAGGCCTTAATCCAATAGAGAGAGAGAGAGAGAGAGAGAGAGAGTGAGAATGTGAGCTTTCAGGTTTCTCTCTTACAATGTACATTTTAAAGTAATAGTTTGAAAATGAAAGTTTGTTGAAAATTGACTCACTCTTAGGCCATCCAAGATGTAGATGAGTTTGAGGTTTGGAGTAATGTAGCGTTACATCACTCAGATGCTCTGCAGTGAATGGGTGCCGTCACAATGAGAGTCCAAACAGCTGATAAAAACATCACAATAATCCACAAGTAATTCACACCACTCCAGTCCAGTCTCGAGAACACAAAAGTTGCGTGTTTGGAAGAAACAAATCCATCATTAAGGTGTTTCAACGTCAAACCGTTGCTTCTTGCAAAAATGCGCGCCATCTATCCATCAACTTTCTACAGTGAAAAAGTCATCTCATGAATCAGGAAAGAAACCTGCACAGATCAAGCACCGTTTACAAACCAAAACTATCCTAAACAAATATGTGGGTGGATTTTGATGTGAGAGACAACAGGAGATTGCGCTGGAGGAAGTGTTATTATGGACTCATATTCTAGCTGGAAGCAAGTCTAAATAATGTCTTTGTTTCTTACAAACAAACTGCTTTGGTCTTCTCCAGATGTTAACTGATGGACTGGAGTGGTGTGGATTACTTGTAGATTACTGTGATGTTTTTAATCAGCTGTTTGGACTCTCATTCTGACGGCACCCATTCACTGCAGCAATATATCACAGCAGACGGCTCCTAAAATCAGACTGGATCTACGGCATCAGACTTGAAGAAACATCCTTTATTCTTTGGTATAAAAGGCACATTCAGGATGAAAGAAACAAAAAAGGTCTGATACATAAAAAAAATAATATTCACTCATCTCATTTGACTAAATATTTCTCGAGTTAGCACATTAAGCATTATGTAAGCATTAGTTTGCCACACAAGCATTCTGTTGCTAGCTTTAAAATGGATTTGTTTTAATTGGCTTCTATTCTCCCATACAAATCTCTTAAGGCAACTGAAAAAAAAACCAGAGAACATAAAAACCAAAGGTAAAACACTTCTGTGCGGTTCACATCACGGGTAACAGATCCGTCGGTTCTGTGTTTACACTGACATCGAAGACTACGAACAAGCTCAACAAGCAATAAATTAGTCGTCTGCAAGCAAACTATCAGATAAAAACATGCCGATCTGATTCTGACCTTAATCTGGGACGCATAACAACAGCTTTGCGTACAAAGTGAAAGTCAAAAAATGTTCAAAGTGAAATAATAAAGGAATGAAATGTTAATAAACACATCGATTTAACTAAAGCACAAAGGATTGGCCAGGACTCCTGACAAGCGTTAAACTAGTCCCATCAGATCAGGTTAAAACTATCAAAAACCAAACCATCTCTATAGAGGTCAATAAATCATCTCGATTATTCTTGAGATTCTCATTCAAACAAATAAAACCAAGCTATTGCATATACAGTTGAAGTCAAAAGTTTACAGAATCTGCAAAATGTTCATTATTTTACCAAAATAAGAGGGATCATACAAAATGCATGCTATTTTTTTTTAATTTAGTACTGACCTGAATAAGATATTTCACATAAAAAATATGTTTACATATAGTCCACAAGAGAAAATAAGTTGAATTTATAAAAATTATCCAGCTGTGTTTTTTTGTTTAGTGATAGTTGTTCATGAGTCCATTGTTTGTCCAGAACAGTTAAACTGTCTGCTGTTCTTCAGAAAAATCCTTCAGCTCCCACAAATTATTTGGTTTTCCAGCATTTTTGGTGTATTTTAACCCTTTCCAACAATGACTGTATGATTTTGAGATCCATCTTTTCACACTGAGGACAGCTGAGGGACTCTTATGCAACTATTACAGAAGGTTCAAACATTCACTGATGCTCCAGAACAAAAAACCATGCATTAAGAGCCGGGGGTGAAAACTTTT